TTTTATTTATCTCTTTTTTTTTTTTTTTTTTTTTGTAAATGTGAAAAGGTTTAGACACAGACCATCTTTTAAAATTTTTCACGTCAACGATAAATAAACGGAAGTTGCGAAATCAAAAACTATGTAAGAAAAATAGATGTTTAAAAAAAAAAAAAAAAAAAAAAAGTGTGCGAGAAAAACGTGTGTAGCGAAGGATAATTATAAGTATAATAACAATACTAATCGGCGTGTGAGTAAAGTAATTTACCAATGATACATTCGTGAAATGCTGGAACAAATAAAAGATGGTGCAATGTGAGCGGCCTTGAGGGAGGCGTGCACATGTGGTTAATGTTTTTTCATTCCTGCATACTACAATGTTGTGCTGCATGGATTAAGGTTACCCACAAGCAAGGTCCTTTTAACAAAGGGATAAATACAAGCGAATCCTACGTCATAACGGGAGGTACTTTTCCTTGTCCACTTATGCTTTCTGTGTGCTAATTGGACCATACCATGGAAAGCAAACAAAGGGGGGCGCAAAAAAAGACAGCATTTGCGGGGACATAAAAAAGTGTTTTTAATAAAGACAACGCTGGGAAGCACTGCGCGAAGGAGTCACATTTTGCAGAGTGCGCATCCTCCTCCAGAACGAACGCGCACATGGGAACAGGTACGTATGTGTCTTTACATGTGTGTAAACAATATCGATGCGACGGGTTTGGATGAGCCCCCCCCGGGGGTATACACCGCACCGATGTAGGGTTACAAAAAAAAAAAAAAAAAAAAAGCGACCTATGAGATGGTAGACATAAGAATTTAATGCATGCTACTTCTCCCCGTACAACCGACATAATTAAGAGAAACTATGTTCCTTATTAGCGAAGATGTTCACTTCAAAGCTTTTGCTTTGAAAATTTTGTAAAATGTGCATAGTGTTACAATTCGGTATGGGAAAGTGTTATAGCGATGCCTTACCAATGTTTTGCGCATAAAAAGAGTGGCGTGGAGGGGGATATATTTCTAACCGTAACTGTGTTGCTGGTATTATGCGGCCATTGCTACGGACGACTTGGTGACCCTTACAGTTGAAGCAGCCCAAATGAACGTCCTTTTTGCGCCACAAATAGGGGATTGAGAAAAATGCCAGTGCGAAGGCGAGTTTTTGTTTTCCTTGTTAAATAAACAAAAGGGGTAACATATGGCTGTGAATTTGTGTCGGAAAAGACCCCCTAACGGGGAAAGGGTAGCACACGTTTAACACACGCAAAATGTGCATTGCCGCACTGGATTATAATTAAAAAACGAACCGTTAAAAATAGGACCATTCTTGGCACTCGTTGGTGCTTTGTTATAATCTGTTTGGGAAACTGCGCAACTGAGAAAATAATCATTTCACCATTATCTCCTTTGCACTGCGATATAATATATGTGGAAAACAGGAGAGAAAGTTTTTTTGTTTGTTCTTATTGAAGCACTCCTTTGCTCCACGGGGGCGAATTAAACAAAAAAAAAAATAAAAGTAAATATATAATAATAAATAAAAATGCTTATCGCGTGCAGCAGTCTCACAAAGTAGCGAACGCAGGGATATATGCATGGACGAAAGAATAAAACTCCGTAAAACTGCGCTAAGGTGTGTTCATACGTTAGGGTACGCAAAGGGTCCTTCTCTTGACGTGCCCACCTGAAACATCCTGCGTTGTGTAACTATTTGTTGCACAAGAACGGGAAAAAAAAGAAAATAAAAAAAAGCGTGCTTGCCATTTCTAGGAGCAAAAAGATAAAAAATGAAGGCATAAAAAACATGTGAACCGAAAAGAAAGTGAGAAGTAAAAAATCGATATATTTTTTTTATGTTCTCCATATTTTTCCCTTGTGAAAATAAGAATACACACTGAGATTAAATAAAGCAAAACATTTTATTCTTAACGCTTCTTAAGCTTGTAAAGTGGTTACGGTCGATCGAAGAATTGTAAACCTTAATTGCAGTTAAGTCCTTTTTTTTTGTTTTTAAAGTACATTTTGCATGTGCGCTTTTTTTGTATGTACCTTCTAAATAAAATAGGCATTTCTTTCGTACATTTTACATATATACAATAATGTGCCTTTTTTTGCCCTTACTTTTTGAGTAAACACATCCCAAAACGTATGCATTAACAAGATTGAAGTGTAAAGGACCTTACGAGAACGTGCGCGGAAGTTTCACATGAGTGTTTTTTCCCCCAAATAGTTGCCACTATAATGAGTTCCTAAGAAACATTAAGCATATGTACGTTCATATCGAAGCATAGGAGTATAAACGTACATACTGGGGTATATCTGCACGGAGGTATATATGCACAGAGGTGTACACGCATGTACATATATACTTTGTGTATGTATATATTTGTACGTACTTACACATATATGTATGTACCTGTATGTGCCTGCCCAGGTGCACGCTTGCTCAGCACATTAAGGTATAAGATCTCAAAAGTGTTGTTCAGAAAAAATGTACATAATATGGTGTTTGGTCCTTTTCGCCTTTGAGTTTGCTTATTCCCGCCGAGCTTTCATTAATGTCCACAAGAATAATATTATTAACAACAAACTGGGGGTCAATAACACGTACAGCAAGAATGCGCTATACCAGAGCTCTTCCAAGGTTCCCATGTCGCAGGTTAAAATGGAAAGGAGTACGCCTTACGGGGTTCCAGCGTCAGTCCGTACACACTGTGTGCAATCATACTCCAGTCCATTTCGTCGCTTTTGTGTAACTGCTATAGTGTTAACCCGTTTTTTGCTACTATGTGCATTATCTTCATTAGACCATTTTGTGTTTTATTTGTATCGCTCGTGTTGTGCCCCTGTTTAGTATGCACTCTTTTGTTCTGCTGTTTTTTATTTCCCTCGTTCATTTCTTCCTCTCCCTATCTCCCCCCCTCTGTTGCAGGCCATTACAAAGAAGCAGATAATTGAGGAAGTCTCCATGGAAACGAAAGAAAGCAAAAAGACAGTGGAGAAAATTATGAACGGAATATTTGACAACATATACAAACACCTGGAAAATAATGAAAAAATTTATATTCACAAATTTGGAATGTATTACAATATTTTTAGAAAAAAAAGATGCATTAAGAATATGCGAACGAAGGAAGATATTCATATAGAAAGTAGCCACATGCCCCATTTTAAGTTCTCCAAAATATTTAAGGACCTCATAAAGGTGAACGTGAAGGCGAAAAGAGGCGACCAGCAGGATGATGACAACAACATGAATGAAGACAACATGAACATGGGAAACATTAACGAGAGTTTCAACGAGAACGTGAATGAGAAGTTGATTTATTGAGCTGGGAAGGGTTAATGAAAATGGGTAAATAAGAAAAAGGGTGACAAGCCTGGGAGAAATCTCTCAAGTATATCGTGAACTTTTTTTTTATTTTATTACAAATCACCCCCTTTTTCTTCATATCAGTGAAGTTATTTTTTCCAAGTTATTCCAAACAAGGCGGTACCACACTTTGTGCATTTTGTTCGCGCGTGCAAATTTTTTTAACGTGCACGTATTAATGATAATTGTTGTTTCCCAAATAGCAAGTTGTCTTTACCATTATTTTTTCAAGTTAAGCATTGCAGCGGCAGAGCAGTACAGAGCCACATTATTGTGCTTTGTTGACGGCGTTGTCTCGCTTTGCGATGTTTTTTTTTCAAAATGCGCTAGTGCATTTTTTTTTTCCTCAGCGACGTGTCTCTCGCTTTCATATAAATTATTTTTTTTTAAAGTCTACCACAAATTTGCCATTTTTAGAAGAACACTTTTTCAGTACTTCATCTTTTGGCATAATCCCTTGCCTCCTTTTGCACACGCGCAACCCATGATGGGTTATGGAAAATGGTTGTAAAGGAAAGGATTCAAATAAAGTGATAAAAAAAGAAAAAAAAAAAAAGTTGAACATGCGGTTTGCGTGAAATACGTTGAAATGTGAATTCAAAATAAAGAGGTTTAAAAGGCGTCATAAGACAGGTGAGGAGAGCACGGAAAATAACTGTGAGTTTTATAAACCGAAAAAGGGCGAAAAATTAAATAAAACAACGCGATGGGAGGTATGTTTTAAGGGGGCATTAAAACGGTAGAGCGGTGATGGAACTGCGTTGCTGAGGCGTGGTTGCACTGCTTCGTGGAAACGGAGCCAAGTAACCACAGGACTATAAAAAAAAAAGAACACAATGTAGATAGCACAGAAAGCGAGGAACAATTACTGGGGAGAGGAAATTTTAAAAACAGAGGAAAGGGTTAACCCTTCTCTTCATTTAATTAACGGCTTCGTAGAACAGGCAATAAGCTTTGGCAGACTCCACTTCCGAAACGTCCACGATGGTCACTATGCTGTCATCGAATTTGTACCACTGAAAAAAAAAAAAAAAAAGGGGGGGGAGGGTTGAAAAAACGGGGAAAGTTCGATTGGACGATGGCTCCGTGGGGACAAGCATGATTGGACATGTGTGCACATATGTGTCTATGGAGATAGGTAGACGGCGCCTGCATGAACACTGCACGCATACTTCTTGGCGCGCATTTGTCCCCATCAATCATACCACGGTGGCGCCATTGGAGTGTCTCCTCTTGGTATAGCAGATATAATGGCCGTAGTTCGAGTTCAACCCTCGATGAACTATAACACCAAATAAGCTGTACTTCTTCGGGTTCTCAATGTATTCCCCATTATTTTTCTTCAGAACATTTTGTACGGTAAAATCATTAATGTCGAATTTTATGGGGTTGTCGATTTTTGATCCATCCTCTAGCAAACGAATCAAATGTACAATGAGAACATTCGGCTGTTTATACACACAAGAATGTTTAAACATCTTTTTGCATTTACATTTTTCGCATGTAGAATTTACTTCCTCTTTTTTAAAGTATTCTACCAAATTATCATTTAAATTATTTTCTGCATTTTTTTTGAAGACATTAACACTTAAATTGTACACAGGCTGGTACACATAGTTCACATAGCTACATTGAGAACACGTAATTTTTTCTTCAATTAAACCTAAAAATAAATCTGAGATAAGGGACTGTTCTCTCTTCAAACAATAATCAATTTTGTTATTTTTGTCAAACGTTTCGTCAACTACCTTCATCATATTGTGAATAAAATCAAAAACGAGAAGAAGAAATTCATGGCAATCTTGCTGTTCATTATATTCAAAGAGGTATGAATATTTATCATTTAGCAAATTTAGTAATTTATTAACATTAAGAACTTTTCCCTTGTTGTGCATTTTACTTAGTTGAAATAATTTATGTGATAATGATAGCAAGAGACAATCATCTTTTTTTTTACTATTATTTCCAAAGAGGTTAAATGGGATACTATTGGTGAAGAAATTTTTGTTTATAAAGGAGGAGTTCATATTGTCTGTGTCTTCACTAGAAGCGTTCATACTTTTATATTTCACGCTTACGTAATTTTGCAGGGTGTATATTAATTTGAGATGAGCGGCTAGACACTGCAGAACTACATTTATGTAACATGTTGCAGAGTAGTTAATAAGTCCAGCTGGCTGCTCTTTCGTCGTTATAATGCTAAGGCTGTTATTGTTGAATTCACTTTCTCTCTTAGGGTTACTGGTTGTTATAATATTCTTAATTCGTTCTTTATCCTTGTAAATACTGCGCTTCGAAACGCCATGATTGCGAATGCTAAAATTGCTGCTACCGTTGCTGCTGTTGTTGTTGCTACTTGCGATGCTACTCCCGCTGCTACTCCCACGATAGCTGCTGCTGTTGCTGGAATAGCTACTATAATCCTTCATAATTAAATTGGTGGTGTTTAACGTATTATTTAACCTGTCTACGTCCTTTTTCGCACCAGTATGATTTGGCTGTTTGTTTGTATTAAAATTCTTTTCGTATTCTTCTTTTCTTTTAGCCCTTCTATCACCGGCATTGGCATGATTCTTTTCCGTGGACGCTTCTTTGGGGATATCCCCGTTGGTACTGCTACTGCTATTTCCGCTGTCGCTACTACCACTACTGGCATTACTACAGCTACTGCCCCGCCTCCGTTTATTTTCGTCTTTGCAAATTAGTCGCTTTTCTGCATCCTCCTTTTTCTTCATTTTGTGATCGTTCTTTTTTATCTGATCTTTATCTTTTGGGGAACTGTTTGCACTTTTAATGCTGTTGTCTGTTGTCCCCTTCGATTCCGTTTCGGTGGTTGTTAAATAGCCATTGCTGGATGCCTCATCCCAATTGTCCGCATTGTACTCTTCACAGGACTTGTAAATTTCGTTTCCGTTTGACGAATGGCAACCTAAGGAGTTCCTTTTGGGAGGCGGGGTTAAGAACATTTTGCCAGAATTGTTAGGCGGATTATCACTTGGGTTTCCACTTTTATTACTGCTGGCTTTACTTGCGTTGCTTTTTGTGTAGGTATAGTTGGCGCTTAAAATTTTGGGAGTGCCGATTTTCGCCTTGGGGCCAAAGTAGGTGGCGTTGCTGGACTTGTTATCCGTGTTCACACCTCTGCTGGGGGTCGTTTCTTTCGTATTTTCCTGGTTTTCCTGTTGGCGCTTCTCTGGGTCCTCCTGCGGGTCCTCCTCCTGTGCATTCTCCTTATTATTATTGTTATTTCTGTTATTGTTGTTGTTATTCCTGTTATTGTTGTTGTTATTCCTGTTATTGTTGTTGTTATTGCTGTTACTGTTATTGTTATTGCTGCTATTATTACTGCTATTAGTGTTGCCGTTGTTGTTGGTGCCGTTTCCTTTGCTGCTTCCAGAATTTCCGTTAGCACTGGCGCCGTTTGCGTTACTACTACGGCCGTTATTATCCAAGGAGGCATTCCTTACGTTGTCGCTCAGACTCCTTGAGAGGTGTATGGGCGGCAACACGCAGCGGCCCACGTCCACGTTTTCCAGAGATATGGCCTCAGTCCGATTCGGACCAAGGGTAGCACTGGAATTACTACCATTTTTTCCCTTTTGTGCAGGGGTCTCCTTTTTGGATAATTCACTGAGGTCATTTTTTGTATTGGTGCCATGTGCTGTGTTCACAATGGGACTGTCGCTGAAGGTGTCATTTTCATTAGAGTAAAATGAGTACACACTTTCATACCAATTTTGACCTTTCAAATCGATCATTTTGTTCATAGTTCTGGGATGGGATTCATCATACTCGAGGAAAAAGGAAGAGTTATATTCCTTGTCCTTAAGACCGTAAAAGTGCAAGAATTCGTAATAGTTGTGTGCGAACTGTTTGTTGCGATGCTTTGTAACCCCTTCGCTGGAGGAAGCCATCTGAGCAGTGATCGGGGCAGACGGAGACGCATGAGCACTTGGTGATACACCACCCGCAAGTGAATTATGCGCATCGTCTAAACTGTTTCTCGAATTGGTTGTTTCGATCGACAGTTCCTCGTTGGAATAGTTAAAAGTGGAAAATAAATTATCCACGTATTTTGGCTCCATCAAATAGATAACATTTTTATTCATAAGATCAGAATTTGAAATGGGCACATAACGGTCATATATATTGTTGCTATTTCGTTTAATACAGGGTCCGCCTCTGAATAGGAAATGTAAAAATCGCCACATGTATTGATTGGTGCATATATAATCTTTCCCCTCCTTCAAATTACTTTTCATATCTTTTTTGTTGTGCATATAGGGACTGATGGACGCCTTGGCAGACTCCTCGTCGTTATATAATTTATAGTTTGTGATGCAGCCTGGAAATTCGCCATTTGGAGTGAAGATAAAAGCCTTCAATTTGTTAAACCAATCCAGGTGTATATAATAGTGGCAGTCATTGGAGTCATGTGGGAATTTTATATTAATATATTTCTGATAAAAATATTGTTGCATTCTTTTCAAAAATGATAAATTTTTATTTATGTCATCTAGCTCTTTTGTTTCTACATTGTGTAGAAGTAGCTGTAGAATTTCTTGCCTTCTTTTGGTTGAGCCGTTGGGATTTTCTGCATGGGTAATTTTTTCAAAATGATCATCTGCGGGAGGGCACAGACCATCATTAGTTGATACCTTTACCTTAGCCGTGTCATTCTCTTCATTTGGATTATTCTCATCATTTATTTTTTCAACACTTTGGGATACATCACCCGGGAATGGAAAAGACTCTGAAGATTTTTCCCTATTGTAGTTACTGCATAAAACATTCATAATTTCATGGTGTGAATAATTTTTAAAAATCTCTAATTTGTTTCCTTCTGGGGTTAAGTCTGGGTTCCTCTGTCTTGCCTCCTCCTTAGTACGCGTAGTGTCGACGTTAACTTCTTTATGTATATTGGTGATTTTCAGCATAGGGTTTTCACTTTTGCTTTTTTGAAATATCTGTTCATTCATGGAGAGGGGCGTACACTCATTGTAGGCACGCCCACGTGGTGATTTAGCTCTTGTAGGTGTGATGATCCTTTTACCCGTTATAGGGTCGACTAGGTTGTTGATACTTTCCACAGAGTGCCTATTCGACTGGTTGGAGCTGGTCGAGCGATTTCCGTCGCTAGGTTCAGCGAAACCTCCTTCGCGGTTGCACTTTTGGATTATACTCGACGCAGCATTCTGAGCATTGGTGGCACCCACATCGATGTTTAGCGTTGCTAATTTGACTTTATTGGAGGGGGACTCGCCACAAACGCTTTCCCTTTCGTGTATGTGCGCATCATTTAGGATGTGCACACCGGATAACTTGTTACATTTACCAATCTCATAGTCCCTACTGGAATTGATGTCCTTGCTTATGTTATTGACATACGTCATAATGTCATCATTTATATGTGCATGGAAACTGGCGCAACTACTCCTAGAGTCCCGTTGATTTATTTCGTCAAAGGTTTCTCCACTAGCTTTATTTACATAATTAACATTTTGTTTTTGTAAGAGACCATTGTTTGGGCTCATTTCCCCATTCTCCAAGGAATCAACAGAATGGCTTTTGTTCATAAAATTTTTTATCCCATAGGCTGGTTTTTCAAATACTACATCAGAGTTTAAGTAGTTCGCAGCTTTGTCTCCATGTTCCTTTATTTCGGAAATTGTGTTTGCTTCATTTTCTACATTTACTTGATTTATTAACTTGTAATTAATGTTTTCAATGGTTAGCTTGTTGTCTTTAATCATTATTTAAAATGGGCGTTTCGTTAATTTTTTTTTTTTTTTTGAGAATTGGTTGGAATGTTTTCCAGTGCGCCGTCAGTGTGGAAATGTTGTGTAGGGTACGGGGGAAGCACTCAGAGAGGGGACACGTAAGCAAGGAAAGGGGAAGGTATAACAATGTGAGCAAACAAACAAGAGTGTACATAATAATGTGAGATTCCTCCGTCGGTTTGCTTAACCTTGACATGTATCCATGTGTATAGAGGGTGGGAGTGTAGGCACGTGTACAGTTGTATTTGAAGGTTGGGCAATGACCACTGAGTCTGACAAGGCAGACGAGGGAAGGATTTTTTTTTAATTATTCTTGAAAAATGAAGAACGATGAAAAGGGAAAAAAAAAAAAACGAAAAAACAAAATGCGATAAAATGAAATAAAACAAGGTGAAATGTGGCAAGATAAGGTGAGATAAAATGCGATGTACGAAGAAAAATTAATCGAATTAGTCTTTCCTTGTAAAATATAAACGCGCACTAATTAAAAATTCGAAAAGTACACAAAAAAAAAAAAAAAATGTCAAACTCTTATAATTGGGGGGTTCAAAATGGTTCTAAGTGTTACGCATATGGGGGATGGCCATTTAATCATGCCCAGGGCGGTTATATGCACACCTGTACAGATATGTACCAACCTGAACTCTCATCCATGCACACATGTACACACAAAGTCGCTACACCCTAATCATAAAAAACTGTGCTAAGAGAAATGTCCTTCACCTTCATGTCCTTCTCCAACTTTTGTTGCATATTATATGTATTGTGATGTACACATGGTAGTCTGATACTTGGCAGTGTGCATGCGGCACCATTTATGGAGAAATATGCTCGTATAAACGGTGAAGAGGCGGGTGTTTGTGGCAATACGAATTATGCAACTACGCGAATTACATGTACCATGGTGATGTACTAAACACAGTGTAGCGTTGACGGGGTAAAATATGTACTTATGCGCTGCGCAAAGTATAACTAAAAAATTTCATCTCGCCTTGGTAGAAATTACATTTTTAGAAGAAACAACTTTACTAAAATAATTCTTTTCTCAAAAAAAAGGAAAAAATTGACTGCATAATTTGTAAGATTTTGTTTTGTTTGGTTTTATTTACGCATACAATGAACGAAAAATGCAAAAATGAAAACAGTTTTTAGCATTGGCAATTCCCATATAATTTGCATTCACTTTGTTTCGCGTTCTTTTGCGTTCTTTTGCGTTCTTTCGTTTTGTTTTGTTTTCTTTTATGGGCAATTGTTTTTTCTACTCTTCTTATGATAGGCGTGTACCACGAATTAGTTCATTCAATTCATATCAATGAAATTATTTTATTTTTTTTTTTTTTTCATGTAAGGTGAATTAAATGAATATAGCGTATCTTTAAAAAATAATTGTTCGTTCACCAATTGGGTATAATAATGTGACGTCTCTTCAGCGTACTCCTTTATATTACAATTTTTGCACGTTTATAAAAGTATATATGGTTATTATTATTACCAACCCGTGTTACTTACCTCCTTTTTTAATTTATTCTCTGCACGCATTTTTTTTATATTTAATTCTGTTCCTAACGCGTGAATACACCATTTTAGTGGTAGATGATACTTGGTTCATTCTAGGTTTAAAAAAAAGAAAAAAATTCTACCTTTTTTCGCACAAGTACATATAACTATTATTTGTAGAAGTGTACGCGTTTGGAGTACACGAGCACGCACTTATCTCTGTTCAAAAATATACAAAATTATTTTATAACTTTTGTGCCAATGCATGTACTACGTACGGAGATACATATATGTGTGCGCAAATTTATATACATACGCTAAAAAGGTTCTTGTTTATACCTTGTACCTGTGAGCCCCCCTGGGTGGTTCGACTTCTAAGAGGACAAGCCAACTTTGAAATGCGTAGAATGCCTTATAGGATATTAAGGAAATGCAAAAGGTAGTCACCTGGCGATAAGCCTACATTATTTGTGAATCTGCTTGCAGTTTTTAGTTGCGGCTATGCTTTACCGCTTTTCTGTCCGGCTATGCTTTGTCGTTGTGATTTTTTTCTGATCGTATGTACATTTTCCACATTCCCCTACCCGGGTCGCTTCACCGCCGTGGTGACAAAAAAGGGAGAAAAGGAAAAGAATACATGTAGGATGCGCGTAGATAAGTATACATACGGAACACATGCACATATGTACGTACAACATATGAGCGTATTCGAAGTCAATTGGCTTTACCTTTTATGTGCTTCCCACAAGGTTTTTTTTCTGACATTTGGGTGGAAAAAAAGAAGAACAAAAGTTTGATAAACTGATTGTCCATCTAGCTATGGAAGAGGGGATTCTTTTCGCCGGGGAGAGTCAACACGCGAAATGGTTGCACATGTTGTTGTACCAGTGGATAAGACAGTCTATTTCTGTTTGTATGTGTAGGTAATCCTCCTACCGAGGCATGTACGTAACATGCTGCTAAATTGCAAACTGGGTGCACGGTTATATCGGCGCAATTTGGGGGTGTTCGTTTTTTTTTTTCCACAGGGGAGAGTCAATTTGTGCGAAACGGGCGAAATGGCAACAAAGTAAAGAATATATCGCATCAAATGCGTGACATCTTAAGGAGGGCAAAAATCAAACTATGTTTATTTTGCAAAAGGAACAAAAAAAAATGTGAAACAAATTTGTTCGCTACCCACGCTTATGCTCATGTGCGTGGTAACACTGGTAGTATTACCAACCTGGTCATAAAAAAAAGGGGTCCATACTTGTCGGAAGGTAAGGATATTCACTTTTACAGATGTACACGGTTGTGCAATATACAGAGGCATGTGTGTGTGCATGTATATATGTATATATGGGTGCGGTCTCGGTCTGAAATAAAATGTGCATACTCACCACCGCCACAACAATGCTCTTCGCCAATTCTTATTTACACAAAAGAGGATGAAAAAAAAAAAAAGAAATTAAATTGTCCTATGGTTGTTCTATTAACTCCACACAATTGTGTTGTGCTTGTAAAAAAAATTCACCAAAAATAAATCGACTGGAGTGGCACATAGACATGGCTACCATTGTGCACGCATTTTCAATTGGGCACAAAAAGCCTTCTCAGTTGAGGTCAATCCTGTTTCCAAATTTTGCATACAACTCCGTTTTCAATTGTTGCTTTTCACTTAGAATATTTTTATATTCGGATTCCAACTTCTTCAAATTTTTCTTCTCCTCGGTTTTTATCTGCTCTAGATTTTTCTCCATGTACTCGGTGTCGACGCTGAAGAAGCAATCGCCTGGGGAAGCGTGCAGAGGGGGAAGGGGTGGAAATGCGTAAATTGGTTAAAGGAAAATTACTACTAATACTGTTTATGATGAACCAGGCAGTAGCGGTACGGCGTGGAACCAGCGACGCGAATTATTATCCGTGCGCGAATGCGATAACCCCCCAACGTATGCATGCACACGTAGGTATGCAATGCCCCTGGAGGGGGACACGTACCTATGCCCAACATAACGTCTTGGGGAGAGAATGCCAAAGAAACTTCGTCTATTGATGCGTCAATATTAGAAATACTTTCGTTCATTAATTTTATCTTCTGTTCGTAAACCGATTGTTTAAAATGTAGGTTGGTGAACTTTCCTATTTTCTTCTGGTCCTCTACAGTCATGTCTAACCCTAGGTCATACTTCGCATCTTTAATATTCGCCATTTTGATGCAGAGAGGAGAAGCGAGTGGGGAAATTGCTCAAACCGGGGTGTCAATACTTGGGAGGCAATTTTTTTCAGTCCTGGTTGAAAGACAATGTGTGCATAACTGTGTGTGAATATTTGAATGCTCCACAATTAGGGGGGTGTGGAATTCAAAAGGAAAAAAAATGGTCCCTGGTTTATTAACACCTTTGTGCTGGTCCTGTCATTTGTATTTTCTTAAAACGTGGCGCATTTCTTCCTGTAAGAAATGGGGTTGTTCTGGATGTACCTTGCACGGTAAAGAAGTGTTGGCATATTGTTGACGTTTGCATGCTTTCCAGGGAAAGCTAATACGAAGATAAAAAAAAGAATTGCTTATAGCAAAATGTTCCTCATGAGAGACGCGAAAAAAGGACTTTCCGACTTGTTACTTTATTTTTCATAAATGCCATTCCGCAGCTGCGCAATACATATGTGTATATGTATGCCTATTTGTATACGTGAGCATTATTCCTTTCTTCCTCCTTATTTGAAAGTATCACTTAGAATGCGCCAAATTTAACAGCACCTATTATATACGTTTGCGCTGCCTTTAACGTATGCACATATGTAGAAACTTCTCAGGGCGAGAAGTTGCCAAAGGGTGTTAGGGAATTGAATGAGAAGGGAGGAGGCGCATACCCTATGTGTTATGCCTTCATGTAATTTGGGCACTCACGAGGCAAAAAAAACAAAAAAAAAAAAAAAGAAAAATGCGGAAATGTACGGCAGCAGTGCATGGCCGGAAAGAAAATCGACCGTGCGCGGCAGCAAGGCATAGCGCTAATGCGTGGTGTGTCATGTGCCACATCTGGGGATACCTCGCAAACCAATTTTCACCGATTGAGAAGTAGCTGGCCCGTTCACCCTCTCACAGCTTCCAACCCATTTTCTTTACATAACAACCTGCGCATTTATTTTGCTACACAAGTTGATAGCTGTTATTATGTGCTACACTCTGAGGTGAAGGTTGCCAAGTGCGAGCATATGACTTACGGGATACTGCCATTAAAGCGATTCCTCTTGCATTTGCCCTCTGAGTTGCCCTTCTTTTTTGTACGTACGGAAAATGGTGCCCATGTGTACAGCTGCTTAAATGAAGAGGTAAACCCTAAACTTATATGCATATGGAATTCTATTCGCTCACCACACAGTGGCCTTTTAAGAGAACTCTTGGCTGCGCGCGAGGAGTCATACCACAATCGAAGTTAAAACAGATGAGTTGCTTTTCTGTTTAGCATTATGAAAAAATATTGATTCACATTTCTGTGCCTTTCCATTTTTGCCTGATTTTTTCTCTTTTTTTTTACTGTTATGCGTTGCCATCAGCCATTTTGCGTTTGGAGCAAGCGCCTCTGGTGTAGCAAATATCAATGTGTACAAGCCTTTGTAAAAGCGCTTTATTTACAACGCTAATATCGCTATTTTTGTTGCACTACTTGTGAAGAACTTTTCCAGATCGGAAATACAACTCGCCAAGTGAAGTGAACCAAGGAGTGGTCATATAACCGCATACCACACAGCCTAGATAACACACAGAAGGGAAGGCACGTGCCTGTGCAAGGTGCCAGTCTCAAGGTCCATAGTGGTGAACGAGGACACACAGGAGAAGAAGTAGAACAAAAATAACCCCCTCCCCCCATTTCGTATACCTTATAAGAAGAAAAAACAATGGACAGCGTGTTGAATAGACTAAACGTCATTTCCTATTCGATGGCCTTGTGCTTTTTAACCCTATGCCTATTCAACTATGGGTCTTCCTTTTATTTATTCGACGAGAAAGCAATGTCGACGAATATAAAAGTAAAAAGTGTGAAGAGGCTGGTGTATAACCGGCACATAAAAGGGGACGAAGCCGTGCTGTCGCTAGACCTGTCATATGACATGAGCAAAGCATTTAATTGGAACTTGAAGCAGCTATTTCTGTATGTTCTAGTAACATATGAAACACCAGAAAAGGTAAAAAATGAAGTTATTATACAGGATTACATAATAACGAATAAAAATTTGGCCAAAAGGAGCTACAAAAATGTCCTCACCAAATATTCCCTTAAGGATTATAAAAACGGATTAAGAAATAATAATATTAAGTTACAAGTTTGTTACAAATATATGCCCATAGTTGGTTTGTCCAGAACATATGAGGGTGCCAAAATTTCGTACCAATTGCCTGAAGAGTATTTTGACAATTTGCCGTCCAGTTATCCTTTGTATTACCCGGACAAGTGACATCAGCTCAAAGGGGGGGGAGGAGGTTTTTGTGGAGAAACTCCACAGGCATGTGAGCATACGTATATATGTACATAGATACATGCGTACGTACATTCTTGTGTAGCTCGATGGAAAGCAAAAGCGTTGATGAGGACAAACCGTTGGAGGAGAAAACCTCCCTGCCAAATCCGTTACTGAAGGGAATAGCACCATTTTTAAGTCATCTAAAATGTAGTAAAAAGGGCAATACTGACGATTCACATTGGGGGTAACCTATGTTACATTCTTGTGTGTATATATGTGCTCATGACTGTGTTGCACGTGTGCACACATTTACGGCTGTTTTTTTCACATAATTACCTCCGTAGGTAGTTTCCATTTTGATTTGCGTGTCTATATATCCTACTTGGCAATATGTTGCACCACATCGTACTGCATTTTTTTTCTTTCCTTTTTCGTTTTTTTCTCCCTTTTTTTTTTTTTTTTTTGTTGCTTTGGTGAATTTGGTCTATCTTCGAGTCTTACGAAACGCATGCACATTTCTGTGAGCAAAGGGAAGTGAACTCTCTGTATGTGCGCTCGCGGAGTGCGTTTGAATGTGTCAACACTGCGTGCTTAATTAGGGGGAAAAAGGCGGTGTTATCGTCTTTACTGCCCACTCTGTGGCCCACTATATGCTTGTTTTTTTTAATTTTTTCCAGTTCACTTGTGTTTTAATACACAACACGAGTGCAAGACTGCAAGACTGCGCAGTAGGTATATTATGTGCTTTGTCCGTGCCGGACTTTTTTTTTTTTTTCCGTTTACAGTATTGTTACGTACAAAATAGAACAATTTTTTTTTTTTTTTCCTCTTATTTGTTACATACATATCACTAACCCCAATAAAGTTGCAACGACTGATACGAACAAGGTACATGGCGCAAGTGAGTAGCAGGAAATATTCTAGGGGGTAGGGGACATACAATAATGAAGTGCACACTACCCATGCGTATAATTGTCGATCCGTCTGTTTTTATTTTGTTCTTTCCCCGGAGATGAAACCTCGGTGCGTACAGGTAGAAATAGGGGATAACAAAAAGGGGTAAACTTTTAAATGCTTCAATATGGGTTGCTAGAATTGTTTGTCTAATTGTAGGCATGCAATAATATTTTACCTACATGGCATGCATGCCTTCATACATACATTCAATCCTATAGTTAAAAAGAATGAGTAGCATTCTCATGATGGGCTTCAAATTTGCCTTATTAATGAGTCTCCTGCTTATAAGGCGGGATACAGAAATAGGTGTGCTTGTCAGTGAGTTAAGTGGAGACAAGAAAGCAAGACTTCTGAGTGTTACGGTATCGCCTAGTTGTGAATCTGTGTACAGCTTGTTTAAGCGTGTGTTTGTGGTTTGTGCCCACATTGGGGTGTTTTTTCACCATTATCCTAATGCTGTTTTACTTTTACATTTCTTTTTTTTTTTTTTCGAAGTGCAACGCTGGAGAGATGCTCACCTACGTAAAGATCAAAAGTGCCGAAAGTAGTGCGCGCTTGTGCGTAGATTTACTCTTGTGTGTAGCGGCTCTTCTAACCGCTTCCCCTTTCTGCATACCTGTCCTCACTGCCTCCCACATTACGTCCCTTTTGCACTATCATCTTTCCAACTTCTCGTTGTAGAATCACAAATGTGAGAAGTGCAAAAAGGGGTTTTATAACTTTTCTAGGGACAACAAAATATGCCTACCGTGTCCCCTTGGAACGTTCAGCGACGTGGAGGGGTCCATTGTGTGCAGAAATTGTCCAGGCGGTTCTAGTAATAAAATGGGGGCGCAAAGGAAAATTAAAAAAAAAAGAAAAGAGAAAGATAGGCATAAGTTAAGGTATACCAATTATACACCATAGAACGCCCACGCATGTATCCCCACCCATGTGCATTCACCTTTTCCTTGCGCAGCTACGAAAAACACAGGGTCGGAATCCTCTCGCGACTGTGTCTGCAGCAAAGGTTTCGCAAAAGAACAAATTAAAGAACAAATGAGTAGCACATTTTGAAATGGTGTCATTAGGAATAATAGGAAGGATGTGTATCGCGGTTGAGAGGCATTCACAGAAGTAAATATTTGTTCATATATTTCTTTTTTTTTTACTATTTTGCAAGGCTTCAAGGTAGACACCACCGACGGCAGGTGTGCAAAATGCAGTGCACTCGAATCATGTGACAACGGTGAAAATGTGTGGTCATTTAAAAGTATATGCTCGAAAGAAAAGGGCGAAGAGTACGTAGAATTGTGTAGGAATGTACTAACCGATCAAGTGTACAGTTTTCAAATTTCATGTTTTAAAAAAGACGTCTGTTTGAATCACAAAGAAGGGAAGAGCTGCTTGGAGGGGAATAAATTAATCCAGTGCAAAATTGTACGAAAGGAAAAAAAAAAAAAAAATATGGCACAAAAATAGTTAGGCTCTTTTGTTGTAATGCCCACACCCTGCACATTTAGTTTGTTCTCTTTTCTTTGTTGCCACCGATAAATGGGCTAAGTATGGCCTATACGTACATAAGTACATCTGTATGTTACCCCCCCCTCCTCCTTGGGGATAATTTCCCAACTGCAGTGTGATGAGAATTTCAGATACCATTTCGTAACTCCAGTGCAGCGTCCCTGCGTGCTTTGTAGTTTTACAACGTACATAGTTTTGCTGTATTTTATCGCCCTCAGTTTGATCCTAAGCATTGTAATACTCATCTGTATACAAAGGAAAAGGGAAAGAGAAATGAGAATAATAAGACTGGTTGTTAAATATACGCAGTTTATGTCTCTCCTCAGGTGGGAACTTTGCTCACAGGGTCAATTCGAACCAATTGTTTTGTGAGACTGTGTCAAACTGTTTGCATACATGTGTGTGTTATTTTGATGATATGTTATTCCGTTTTTCCGTTTAAATTTTACCTTAACTGTACTCTTTCATGTACTACTGTTTGTCTATCCTGATTTTTCCACCCCCTCCCCTTCCTCCCATACAGGTACGTGAACTCCGACTATAATCACTTCCTTTTAGACGCGCTGCACTTCTTCACGGTTGGAGTTCCGCTGAATGAAATCCTCGACTGTATATTTGTGGTAAAAAGGCACATTCTCATGAGGGAAATAAAAAAAAAAAAAGTGATCATATGATACGACACAACGCAAAACAATGTACCATAATAGAGTGAACCTAGTTGCCACAGTGCTTAGAGATTCCTCTATCTATGAGAACAAATGGTACACTCTCGCAAAAAAAATTTTTTTCTTTTCACTTTAGAGTGGTACAAACGAAGAAAGGATTGAAAAGAAGGTTGATTTTTTGCTATTCTTGCCTCTGATCTTTTTAGTATTTCCCCTTTTTGGAATAATTGTCCTCCGCCTCTTAAGAAGTAAGACACGAACAAAGGAGCGAAAAAAAGAGCCAGCGCCCAGAGTAATATACTTCTACCGAGGTGTTAAAAATGTGACAAAAAAAATGCGTCCATCATGGAGGTCATATAAACGGAGTAATTATCTGTCCCCTACTAGTTTTATGAGGACAAAAACTACTGCCCTTTGACCTTTTTTAATAGTCACTTTTGAGTATAAAATGGTGAACACATTTTGGTGTTTCTCGTACATCGAACAACAGGAATTTTTTCTCCCTTACGAGAGTACATAACTATGAATATTTACATATGTCTATATGAACCTCTATATTTTCCTCCGATTTGTCATTGTAGAGCAAGGCGAAGATGGGCTAAACCATAACTCGTGTCATGGTGGGGTGGATAGTATTCCTTCCCTGGAGGAGAACTCATATTCCCTGACAGGAAAAAACAAGCGGAAAGCAGAAGAGAGTGGCAAATATTATGCACAGCTTTTCATTTTATACCATGAATATCTCTACTTGGAAATAATAAGGCTATGTGTTTTTTTTTATTTTTGTAATTATGATGAACACAGGAAAGGGGATTTTTTGATAGCGGATGATTCTTTAGAGTGCACCAAAATGAGGAGAAAATATTATATAAAAATATGGATAATCGTACTGTACAATACGTTTGTTAATTATTTCAACTACTTTTTATTTTTTCTGAAGAAATATATTCCCAGTTTAGATGTCTTATGCGTGTTAAAAGCAAAGGTAAGTACGCTTAGCCCTTCGGATGACATTTTCTTGCTACTCTTTTTGTTTTTGTTTCACAAACGATTTTTTCAAAACATGAAGGCATCTCTAATTGTTAATGATAAGAATGGTATATATAACAATAATGTGCACACGTTTCAGTTTGTTGTCATTGTCGTGTCGTTTTCCCTCTATACGTTAATTACATTTTTATGCGTCTACCAATGTGATAATTGCGCGGGGGAAGAGGAACTGGACAAACCAGAAAATAAGCGAAATGTGGGTCATATTATGAGGACGTCCTCAGTTTATGAGGAAGCAGAGACGAGAAAAAAAGAGGCCAACAAATCCGATGCCGTCAGGGACAACCGTTATAACAATGATGGAGAAGCAGAAATGGCGGAATTAAAAAATGGACAAATGGGGGTGGCACATGGTGATCGGCGGGAGAAAGACGACGTGGATGGCGAAGAAGGGAATGCGGATGATAACGAGGATGAGCACACACTGGATACTCCAACAGGGGGTTATAAACAAGACCACCCTGCTACCCCATCCTGTGTTATTCAAGCGATAAAACTGATGTCCAAATTTGTTAAAAAACGCAAAACTGAGAAATTTTTTTTCTATTTTTCCATGTTTGTGTATGTCACCATGGCGCTCTCCTACTACACCTTTTTAAGCTACGTGCATGCAGGAAAATTCCTGGATGTTTTGACAATCATTTCAGTGCTATGCAATGTGTTGATTTATGCTATAATTTTCTTGCTGCTTATAAAATTGGTCAGAGGGAATAACCGGAATGGGGAGAATAAAAAATGGTTCAGGATAAGCGACATCAGAATGAGGATAGCGAAGGCGAAATGGGTGACCATATGGAGAAGAAAAAAAACAAGCGGAACAGAAAAGGAACAAACAAATAGGAATCAAATGGTAACATTCAAACAAAGAAATAACAAAATGGAGGAGAAATACTTTTTGAAAAATGAACAAAGGAGTATCATGTTGATAAATAATATTCGGAAGAACAGTAAAAGTTTTAAGGTTAATTTTGGTGAAGTAGATGGCAAGTCAGAAAATGACAAGTCTGTTGAAAACAAGGAAAGAAATAAATTTATCAGAAGGTACAAATTACTAAAAATATCCAAAAGGTGGATTATATTTCTTCAAAATGTTGTAGATCTATCGGATGAGCCCGAGAAGTGCTTGTCCATGTTGATCAGCTTAACGCTAGAGAAGGAGTTCCCCAGCCTCGATTTAGACGCCTGTTTGGAAAGAGTAAAGAAGAATTATTTCTCCACAATGAAAAATGTGCCAACTATTTTGAAAAACTTTCTCAAATATACGAATAAGTTTTTAGCCATTCTGGAGAGAAGGAAAAAAGAAGGAAAGAAGCATTCAAACGTAGGTGGACACGGATGCACATACGGACGCATAAACGACTGCGACGAGTCGGCAATCATTTTCGCATGGGGGTTAGGCATTCTCAGTTTCGGAAATCTGCAAGACGTAAATTATAACCTGTCTCCAGTCCTATTTCACGTTTCAAATGTGTTATCCAAATGTAGATATATGAAGTACATAATGGATTACTATTTTAGGTACATGTCCTATACAGGGATTCTTCCTTTGGGGGGTTTAGGAAATTACTACTGCCCCCGTGAAACGACTACAGGGGGAACACTACCAATTTGTGACACTATTAATAACAGGTATGAGGGCCAAGAAGGGGAAAGTAATCTTAATAGGGTTGGCCCCGGAGGGCTGGACAACCAAACTGCAGTTTTTCAAGTGTTAAGCGAGGACAGACACCCAGATGGATATATATATGGGAAAAACGGGCAGCTCAATATAGATGCGGCAAATGAGCAAGCGTATTTAGGTCCACTATTTACCCATACTGCGCAGATGGAGAGCTACACAGGGGAGCAGTCCATGTCGCTATCGAGTTGTACCCTGAGTAGAAAAACTCAAACTGATTTAAGCATCCGGAGAAAAGGTAACAACGCATGGGACACAATGTGCATATGTAGGCTATGCCTACGCGGGAATTATTGTCCAATGGAACATGAGAACCCCATTCGATATGTACATCAAGCGCTCCACTCGATTATTTTTTGCATGCCCCCCAGGAAGAAGAGACAATCAAGCGGAGGATGGATTCCCCCTCGAATTTGAACTTAACCGCATATACGCCCAGGAACTTTGCAGAATTTACGTTCATTGCTTATTAGCAGATGTGAGTGAGATGTACAGAGGCATACAGTACACACAGACGTGCGAAAAGTACCTATACAGTGGGGTTTTAAACCTATGGGGGGATCAGCACAAGAGTAGTAGTAATATATATATGAGGCGGTATTACGAACATTTGGAGAGGTGGGCAGGACTGGAGGAGAACACCGCGGGGGATCCATCCTCACGAGGCGAAGACAAACCGGGAGATAGGGATTCAACAGAAGTAATTTTCAACATAGAAGATTACATAAGCAGCAGGGTTATAGAAATAGATTTTTATGGACAATTTGAGCACCTAAAGCGTGACACGAAAAATTATTTAATGAGCCTAATTAAAGAAGGGGACTCTTTACATGTGAATGAGTTAACAAACTTTTCTGAGGTGACTCGAGATAGATCGCAGGAAATGGAGAGAAAAGAAAAGGAAAAAAAAGCAAAAAAAAGAAAACGAAAAAATGAACAATTTTGCAAAGTATTCTGTAGTGCTTTGCCAGTGTGCATAGAAAAATGCTGTTGGGAATTTCTGGACAAGAATGAACTGAAACAGATTGAAGAGGAAAAAAGGCAAAGAAGAAATTTCACAATTTCGTGTGAAAACATGGGGGATGAATATTTTAATGTACATGTATTGAAAAATTATGAAGAAAAAATGACCTATTTTAAGATTGACTGCTATGGAGGGGTCATTTCGGTTGGAGGAGATTTTGTGAACAAGGAAGGGGAGTTCTCATGTATGCGCAAAAAGGAGAAGACACGGAGAAAGACAACTGTGGGGGAGGATAAAAAAGGCGAAACAAATTTTACGGAAGAGACAGAAGACAATTTTTTAACCGAACAGGGTGTCCATATGTTGCATACAAACATGCACAGTTATATAAGTTACGAACGCGTGGAGGGTTCCAAAATGGAAATATTTACACACAACAGTTACGAGGGTGAAGTAGGAATTACAGGAGATTTGAAGGGAATGAATTTTTATGACAGAAATGCACTAGTGGTCCTAACCCCCCCAGTGGTTATACCTACGGCGTGCACCATAGAGGTGTGGCTGTTTGTTGGTTCAAGAGAAGGAACCACACATGGACGGGAAAAGAGTTTCCTGTTTTGTGACATGGAAGGAAATTCCCCATTCGTCATTTCGAGAACGGGAAACAAAATTGAGGACATAGAAATACACATCAGTGATGAGCGCAGGTTAGGCAATTACTTTAGACAACTGCACAGTGAGGGGAAGAGAGAACCCATGGCAGGAGCCAAGACTACCGAAGAGGGAAACCATTGGAACGTTTACATAAAATGCGAGAAAACTCCCAAATGGAATAAAATAAACTCAATAGTGAAGCAAAATCAGTGGAACTTATTCAACATAACCAAATGTGCTAGTGGATTAATTTACTATATGAATGGGAAGTACATTAGCAGAGTCTCGCACGAAGTGTTAAATTTAGAGAAACAATTAGAGATGAGCATATTTGGAAATTCCTGCTTTGGAAATAATAACATAGGATTATGTTCCTCTTTTAAAATTTTCGAATTTTTAAAAAAAGAAGATATAAAGAGAAGATACGACATTGTGAAGAAAGTCAAAGGAAGAGAAATGATTGGAGACAACCTCTGCATGGAGATGAAAGACCAAGTAATAGAAGGCATAGATGTGAGGGACAAATGCATGCAGGTGTTGGAATTTTTCATGTACTTTGCGCAATCGCAGAAGGAGAATACGAGGGTCGTTGCCTTCACCAATGACTCGAATTATAGAGTGAAAATATATCAGCTACGCTTGGTTTCTAAGTACACAGGTTGCGCTTCTTTAGGGGAAGGAAACAGTCCTTGGAAAAGTCCCCCAAATGCACACATCTACGAAAGAAACAATGAACAATTATACAACAAAGACAGCAAATTAGGGTTGAATAGTCGACCAAATGGTGAAGTAGAGGAATGTGCACACCTCCACAGGAAATGCGACAGAATAATCCACATCGATGATAAGGAAGAGTATGGCTACAATGTGTTCTTCAAAAAAGTGAGCAGAAAGGAAGACGCTCCAAAGATTTACGGAATAAATATATTTTCTGACCTCCTTTGCTATGCATGCGATTTGTCCAAATTTTATAACCTAATTTTGGACCCGCCCTTATCCATATATAACGAATTAGTAAAGCCGTTCGGGTATACGCTATGCCTTTGGGTGTTCCTGCCCATAGAAGAAAACGTTTCCTTTTCTTCGTTAGTTAGTGGAGAAAAGGATGCACATATAAGCGTTTTTAGTGATAGGCTAGTTATCGGTTGTATTGAGAATTACAGAAGGGGGAACAAGCAGTGTCAAACCTTTTATCACTCTTCTGGATTCAGCATCAAGAATGTGAAGAGGGGTTGGTACTACCTGACAGTCGTTGGAACTTTGAAGGGGCAATTTTACTTTATAAATGGTTGCTTCAAGGGACATCATAATTTTTGCTCCTTTGATGATATAAAATATGTAGGAAATAGTAGCTTGTTTATTAACCCATTCCCCTATATCTGTTTCTTCAAAATGGTGACGAAGCCTTTATCTGTCACTGAAATAATGTGTGAATATGCATGTCCTGCTTATGATAAATTAGGTGCTCCTCCCGGTTCTGCTTATTGGTACTTACTTTTTGCAAATATGTTTGGAACAGCAGCCCCAAATGACGGCAGCGTAGATTCCGTGAGTGATAAATCTACGTCTTGCACGGGTTCAGACAAGGGGAAGTATGTGCACTTTGAAATTACAGAATTTTTTGATGTGCACGTTTATCCATACCGAGAGAGGAAAGACTACCAATTCGCCATATCCGTTACGTCTATGGGGAACAGAAAGTTATTTTTTTTTAACCAAAAAAAGGAGCAAATTAACAATTTGAATATATACCTGAATGTCAGCATAGTGTTGCCTTCATGTTGGGCAATTTTCGCTGTCATCAATTTGTCGTATGTGAATAAATCTACCTATCACTGTTTGGTGGGTGGGCAAAATGGAAATTCGCATGTTGCCATTAAAGGCTCGAATTTAGCATTAGGAGTTTTAACACACTTGGGGGAGGACTTTTTGCAGAAGGGGGGAATACTTCATGAGGTTAAAAATGGGGGAAGAACGAACCATTTGACACGGGATTCCTCATCAAATGATAAAAAACAGGGCACATCAGGAGGTTATGGTGAAATTGGTAATACATCCCAGTGCCAAACGGAGAACAATATGAGTTACCAGAATTGTCCACATTTTCACAGCTCAGGGTACTATCTCCAGAATGAACTGAACGAGGAAATTCTATTAACAACCAGGTGTCGGCAGAATGAACAAACGTTTTTCATTGACTCGCACAAGGTGGGAGTGTGCAAATCATGTCTCAGTCCCATATGCTGCATTGGAAACTGTCGATCTTTTAGTGGCGAGTATTTGTCTCCCTTTGGTTTTTACAAATTTGTGCGCATCGTTTATGAGGATGTTACGGATGAACAGGTCATCCAGTTTTACCGCTCCCTTCATTTGCGTAGGGAGCAAAGGTAATTGTGCAGATATGGCCGTATTTGCTCATGGTTGTAAACATTTAAAATGAGCTTCAGCGAGGGGGCGGCCATCTCCAAATTTGGAGAGTAACACACACTCTTGTTCGTACGAAGTCGTCGCGTTTCAAAAGGTGTAAAAAAGAAAAAAAACAAAACAAAAACAAAAAAAACAAAAAAGGCACTCTTCATTTTGCACCTTTCGTAATGACAAGTTCCGTTTGGAATAGCCAGACGGAGGAACAAACATTTCAAGCAGTTTCGCTGGCAAGTGTATTTAAAAGGTAGCTAGGAAAAACAACTCTTTTGGAACACTACTGCATGTGACGTATATTGGGCTATTTTTGCATGCGAGCCGGACATGCTAATGAGAGTACTAATTTAAACTGTGGCAAAGTGGACTAAGGGAATGTGCAAGGGGAAGTGGTGGTGAGGGGCTCTCTTCTCCCTCTTCATTCTGCTTGCTCATCTCCTTCATCACCAGTTTCATCCGATTCCATGGACTCATCCTTGTTCTGGTTTTCCGTTTCGTCCGTCTCTTGCTCAGACCTAGGGGTAAAAGCGAGGCAACTCAAAGTGGGTACACTATTGGAAAGATGTTGCCACAGTGCTGACGCACTATTTTGGGTGCCTAATTTTGGCAAAAATGTACACAGGGGAATATAAAGACAAAATATATGCAAAGAGATGCACATGTATCTTTTTTGGTTACCCGTTTTTTTGAACCTCGTCGACGCTTTTTCCGTTGATTTTTACTTGTGGGCTTCCGAATTTACTTTTTGCAATTCGCACTTTTAGTCCCTTGGGTTCATTTTCCTGTTCTTCATCGAATTCTTCGTTGATAATTTTTTTCATAGCTAGGTTTTGTTCCTTCTGTTGGGTATTTGCTTTCTTTTTGAGTGATTGTTTTGTTGCGCCCGCTTGCTCCAGATCTCCCTCTTCATCCTTATCACCCTCTTCACCTGCATCACCCTCCTTCTCATTTTGCTCTTCCTCTTTGTCATTGCCTCCCTGGGCATAGTTATACTCTGGTAGTTTTCCCCTATTTTTTGTCATTTTGCATAAAACTGCATCAGTTATAGAGTTGACCCAGAAGTTCCTCAGGACTTTACTAGCCAAACAGAGAATGGTAGAATCATCCTTTTTTTTTCCCTGTCGTATGTTAATGCATTTGCTGGATAACGTTTCTATTGGCAGAAGTATATCCTTTATGCTTATTTCTTTTTCTTTTATATTTCCTAATTTTAACATTAGCTTATTAGAAACTATGGATCCTTCAATGATTAGCTTTCCTTCTTTATCCGTTTTGTCTAAGATTAATCCTGCCAAGTGCTTAAGGGACTGACCGCAATATTTTCTATTGGCGAAACTTTTCGCTTCGTCCAAATTGTTGTATTCATTTTTTGAAACCTTTAAAAGTTCCTTTGTCCATTTATCCAGATTTTTGTTAAAGAATACGGGGGCGCATCTACTCAGGAAGACGTTAAGTAGAAGGATGGGAAGGGCCCATTTTATCGAATGCATGGTTGGCTAAGTTGGTAAAAGAAGGTGAACAGAGAGTTTGGGTAATATGCCAAAAGTGACGTATGGTTTGGGATATATGGCGTTAGAGATACCAGTGGGCGAAAGGTGTAGAGAAGTTTACAGGCACTGCATGAATTTACTAATGCTTAGCTATGCAGAGACCATTAGTATGGTAATTTTTTAACAAGGAGGAAATTTCAACTAATTTTAGTAAGAACAATTTGGTAGACGAAATGGGGAGAAACTCTTATGATGTTCGTTTATTTGTCTGGGACTTTTTTATTTTATTTTATATTTTTTTTTGTTCCTTAGTTTTAGGTTATGCAAACTAGTCGGAGGGGGGGGTATTCATTTGTGTGTATGTACATGGCTGTGCCCAGGTGGAAATAAAAAACTCCACGCGCAGGGTGTACATAAAATGGTGCGATGAGACATTTGGAAACGTGAAATGATGCGTAAAAGCGAAGAATCGTTTTTGTGATTAAGCAGTGGAGCGAACATAAGTCAGTACATTTTCTTGTGTCCCGTCAATAAGCACAAAACGCGCTACAGGACGCGCTGCAGAACGAATGCAAATTTTACAACATTGCGCTGGGGTAGACGACCCATCTTTTGATTTCTTCTCACAGGGAACAACAAAACGCGTATTAACACGAGTGACACTCACTGTGCTTCCCGATATTTAATTTCATGTCCTAGGTGAGCACTTTCCCGAGAAACGTTTCGCACTTTCGGGCGGGTTTCAATTTTAAGGCTATCGTTGGCCAGGAACTTATACGTCGGTTAAGTGGAAAATGTGTTTTGGACAATATGGCCTTCAAACAGTGTGCCCTAACTATCCCCTTCACGATGCAGGGTGAGCGTTGTCTAATCGGTTGCACGCTCATTTTGAAACAATACTTACGGTTAAAAAATTCTTGTTCATTAGATGAGGGATTGAAGCCATGTAACCCTTAGCCATCGCATAAGAGGTACTACTCGAATATGCGTGGAACTGGCCATGTGGCTCCCCCTTGGAACTCTTTACGTGCACTTTGTGGACCCCTTCCTGTATGCACATTTTTCTGCTTCTCTTTCGATGGTCTCACCATAATTTGACCATATAACACAGAAAAGGAAAAACAGGGAGGGCCTATTCACCTGGATTTTTACCTGTAAAAACTTTTGAGTATGCATAAAAAAAACACAACCACATGTGCAATTTGACTGAATTGCGCTTTTCAAAATGGTTAAAACGTTGCAGTGATTTACATGTGATGAAAAAAAAAAAAAAATTGTTGAGAAAAGGGTTACCACTCTTTTTAAGCCATAAATATGATAATTATTAAATGTGTTTTTTCTTTTCTTTCTTTTTTTTTTTTTTCCTTCTTTAATTTAACCGTAATTATGAGATGGGAATGCCCACCATCCGCATCGATCGTGCTGCATATTTCGCACATGCGTTCCTCACGAATAGCAAACATATAGCCTTGTGCTTTGGCAATTTTTTTTGGCAGGCTTCCAATTTCTTGCCTTTGTTTATTTTTCTGCCGCAAGGTAACAATTATTATACACAACATGTGCATTTTTTTTTATTGATACGTAATTTGTGCCCTTCCGTGTTACGCGACCAAGCAAGTTGCCCCTTGAACATTTTGAACTTAAAAATATTACATGGGAGAACAGTTACATCGCGTGAGTGAATAGATGACTGGGGATTCCACTGAAATGATAATTTGTTAACGCGCCGTTTTGTATACCAACGTGCGTACCTATGCCTTAAAAGGGGTACATCTGTTCAAATCAGTACTTATGCAGGCATACCTTATCCAGTCACACCTTATGAAGGAAATTCGTAGCCACGCGCGTGCATGAAAGTAGGTTTGTACGTGCTCGGTGCTTATCTGTTCATAATATGGTTATTATCCCGTGTGTTATTATCCCATATGCGGTTGGCCCTGTTTGCACGCTCCTTCCCCCTATTCTAACTCAGTGAGAAAATTCACGACGACCTATGCATCCACCATATAACCATCCACAGACCCGCTGAACAGAAAAATGATGTAACTAATTTATTTGTAATTTCTTTCCTCCTTTAACATTTCGAATTTTAAGAGCTACTCCAGAATTGTCAAGTTCTCCGCAACCGTTGCGACCCATTGGAAGGGTTCACACCACAGGCGTAGGTGTACTGTTTATTCCTTTTTGTTTTCATTCGTAAGACTTCTTGGGGAAAGCACCCAACATAGCAAATTGAACGGTAAGCGGCTGCGAAGAAGAATAAGGACATATACAAAGTAGGGAGCGTTTGTACATATAGCAAGAGAGTAAGAAGAACAAACTGGTGATATATGCGACATATAGACGGAGAGATTTATAGAGTAAAGCAACACTTAAATGAATATATAAGATGCTTGGATTCACGGGATCATGTCTGTCCAAGGAGTTTTTCGACTTAGCAAAATCGATTGGGGAGGCCCGCTCGAAGCAGGTAAGCTGTCACGTTCCAGCTGTGCGGAGATTTTTCCCACTTGCGACGCGCACGTGCACACGCATATATATACATACACATGCTCGCATCTCCGTGCTGCCTTTTTTTTTCTCTCGAAGGAGGAAGACAGAATCATATGCAATGAGATCGTTTTGCTCAAGTCAAGGTTTGCGGATCCGAGTGCGTCAGTAGTAGGTTTCCGTGCCAATACGTGGAGGGATTAAGCAATGTTAAAGGAGGCATGAATCACACGGTTGTTGTGTGAACTAGCATAGGGAGAGCGTTGTGCGATGTGCTCCTTTATAGGGATAACTATGTAGAAATGCACGTGCGTTGTTATGCCCGATGCACACCTTGTTATTTTTGTTTCCCCCTCAGAAACAGATAAAGGAATACCTGATCAGGGCGATTTACATTGAAATGCTGGGACATGATGCCTCCTTCGCATATATCCACGCAGTTAAGCTGGCGCACGAGAAGAATATTTTGTGCAAGAGGACGGGCTACTTATCGTGCAACTTGTTCCTAAATAAAGACCATGAATTAATGCTACTTCTAATTAATACAATACAGAAGGATTTAAAAAGCGACAACCATTTGGAAATATGGGCAGCCCTAAATTGTGTGTGTAAATTACTAAACAGTGAAATGATCCCAGCGATATTTCCAATTATAAAAAATTTATTAAATCATAAAAATGAGTTGATAAGAAAAAAGGTTTGTATGTTATTACATAAGATGTATTTAATAGATCCATCCTTGATAAAAGAAATTGACATATTTTTGAAGAAGCTATTGTGCGATGTCGACCCATCCGTGATGGGTGCGTCATTAAATTTGATCTTTTGCATTGCCAAGAATGATATTAGCTATTGTATAAAGTTAGTTCCATACTTAGTTTCTATTCTGAAGCAAATATGTGAAAATAAGTTGCCAAAGGATTACGATTACCATAGAATCCCCGCTCCGTGGATTCAAATTAAAATACTAGCAATTTTTAGAGTTCTCGGATACTCAAATAAAAAGATATCAGAACAGATGTACGAGGTTTTACAAAAGACGATGCAGAGAGCTGACTTTGGCATAAACGTTGGTTATGCTATTATATACGAGTGTGTAAAAACTATTGCTACTATATACCCTTCTCATCATTTGCTAGAGTTGGCATCTCTGTCCATATCAAGATTTATTTCCTCAGATAATCATAATCTTAAGTACGTTGGTGTTACGGGGCTAGCGTTGATTGTGAAGATTAACCCTATGTATGCATCGAAGCACCAGTTAGCTGTAGTAGACTGCTTAGAGGACAAAGACGAAACATTAAAAATGAAAACGTTAGATTTGTTGTACCAAATGACGAATCCTCTAAATGTTAAAGTAATTGTAGATAAGCTTTTATTTCATGTGGAGAATTCGCTAGATATTCATTTTAAGCATGACTTGGCGTGCAAAATTATTCAGTTAATTGAAAGGTACACTCCAGATGATATTTGGTTTTTAAATACTATCAACTCTTTGTTTTTGTCCGTGGGTGAATTACTCGATGAGAGTTATTCCTACTCCCTTATTAAGCTCTTGAAGGACAGCTCCATGTGCCTGGATTCGGACTCCGGTGACGATTTAGTTCGCAGTGGAGTGAATGAGGAGGTTAGTAGTATGGCTGGAGATCACCGCAAACGCGACAAGGGTAATGTAGCTTACGCAAATGAAGGGGAAAGTACAAATACGGCTTATTTAAAAAACATTGCAGAGATGGAGAGTAGGGGAGAATTGCTGAGTGAGTCCTCGCCCCCAGGGGGAGAAGAAGGAGTTAGCAACCATCCAGACGAGAAGCCCAATTGTGGAAATTACGACATAGGGCAAAATGATGTAAGTGTGGCACTTGATGATAGTGAGAAAGTACTCATTTTGGGGTCGGTAAACAAAGATGGAAATAGCGACGAATTAGCAAAGGATAACAGCCATACTGGTGAGAATCTCATTAGGGGAACATCCAATCGAGAAAATGATGAAAATGAATTAAAAGAAAAAAATAAAATAAATGATGATTTGTACAATTTGAGGAAATATGCCGTGAATACCTACATAACCATGCTAGAAAATAACGAAAATATTCCCTTCATTTTGATGCAAATTATTTGCTGGGTGTTAGGAGAATATAGCTACCTGTGTGATATAGAAAATTACACAACTGAAGATATCATTGATTTGCTATGTGAGTGTCTGGAAAGAACTTATAACAACCCAGATAGAGTTAAGTCTTGCATAATTACAGCGATTTTTAAATTGTGCTGTTTCAACAATGTAACCGATCATGTCGTTGCGAAGAATTTAATCGAGAAATACAAGAACAGCAGACTCACAGATATGCAACAGAGGTGTTACGAATATAGCTCCATTTTAAATAACCCGAATTTAATGAAAAATGTATTTTCAATATCGAGTAAGCAGAAAATGGTCATTGATGAAAATTTGTCCTTTTTAAATCCCTTGGTGGATAAACATTTGGCAAGTGGAGGGAAGGCTTACATAAAGAAGGAGTTAAGGCAAACCGAAACAAATTTTGAATCAGCTAAGAACAGCGTCCCCACGCTCAATTTCACACCATATGAATTACCAATCAATAACAGAATACACATTGATACCTTGCACACGTCCAACAGTGGCTCTGGGTATGAAAGGAGTTACAAGTATGATACATCTGCGCATGTTTCGTTAGAGGATAAAAGTACTAACCTCAAAGAGAGGGAAAAAACATTTAAGCTTAACGTGGTGGGCCCTAAAAAATGGACAAGAGAAACGTGCAAAATTGAAGGGAAAAATAATAATGAGAAAAATAGCAACAAAAATGGAAAGAAAAAGAAAAAGAAAAAGAAAAAAAAAAAAAAAAAGGGGGACAACCAGACAACCTATGAGTTTAAAGGTAGCCATGAAAATGTGAGCATAAATAAAGTAGGCAACAAGGATGGGCAAAAAAGACTTCCTAAAATTAGGAACACGCAGGGTGAAATTGAACAAGAAGAGGTGGAACAGGAGGAACAAAGCAATGATGAACTTTTTTATGAAAACAAATATGGTGGACACGGAACAGAAGGCATAGGCAAGGAAGAAGACGAAGTGGATAGCGCAGAAGAGGACGAAGAACAAGGTGAAGAAGACGACGAGGATGAGGAGGAGGAAGAGGAGGACGACGAAACAGTGGAAAATGAAGGAAACTATGGCGACAATCATGAACCAGGGAATGAAGGAAGAGAGAATGAAAAAAGAATGGATAATTTAGGAGATTACTACAATCAGAATTACGAAAGTTTTGACGAAAGAGATATACACAACTTAAGGGATAACAAGCACGATCGTGCGAGCAGCAGCAATGCATCCGCAACACATAACGAGCTAACAGAGAAGGAAAAAATGGCTGCTGCTCTTTTTAATGGTCTACTATCAAACAATTCTTCAGTTGACTATTCGAGAAATAATTACTCTTCTAGTTTTTCAAGTAAAAAAAGTCACGCGTTGTTGTCCAATAGGAATTATTTTAACTGCAAATCTGATGAGAGCAGGACGGATGAAAGGGGAAAACACTTTGTTGAGAAAAGTTCGAGGAAATTCCAAAGAGAACCTGGTGCATGGGGCAGTCAACAGGTGGACAAGCAGAGCTCTTCGTCGAATATTTGGGGAAATTCTTCAAACAAATTGGACGAAATGAAAAAATCCAAGTGTGCATTTGATATGCTAGATTTGAACGAACCTTCTTCTAAAAGGGACTTAGTGGAGGAAGAAGAGGAAAATAGGACCTGTAAAGACGAGGTAGCCATCGAAACACCTTTTCATTGCGCCCACGGCTACTACGTGAAAAAGGGGGGAGCCATATGAACAGAGAGAAAGGGCAAAACAAAAAAAAGGGCGCCAATTGTTTCATCACATGTAGTGGTCATTTTGCTCAACCAACATATTTACAAAACGAGTTGAAAACATAATCTTTGCCCTCGTGCTGCTGACATTCAACGCGCTTCGTCATTATGCAGTGGTCTTTTTGTTTTTACGAAAAATTGTGTCATTTTACTGCGTATTGTGCGCCGCCTATTTTTGTGTCCTTTTATTTTTTTTTTTCCAGGATAAAAATCTGTGGAACAGCATCAGCAATCAGAAGAAGGCCGTTTTTTTAAACGCTACAGAGTTAAGCATATTTCAAATAATTAAAAGTATTGAGGTAGGTCGTTTTGCCATTGGGTTTTGAGAAGACTTGACTGCTTTGGCTCCGTAGCAGCTTTGCAGTTGCTTGACACAGTTGGGCAATTTGCATATATGTGTGTTTTATTCTGTTCTCTTTTTTTTTTTTTTTGTTTTTATTTCCACATTGCGCGATATTTATGCGTCACATGTTTTCATTCTTTTGCAGAACAACCTAAATGCCAACGTGGTGGAAGTCAGCACAAAGGAAGCCCTAGTTTCCTGCATATATAGCAGCAATAAAGTGTTGGTAAAAATCAAAATAGAGGAAAACAAATTGGTTTTTTTAGTGAAGTCCGCTGACACTAGGTAAGACAACATGAAGCATAACGCTATCACTAACAAGATTTAGCGAATGTATATGTGTGCTGTGCGTGTGTGTGTTTTTTTTTTTTTTACCGCATGGATAATTATTTTTGCCGTTTGAACAGTGAGGCTGTTAAAAGCTATTCAATTTTGATGTTATCATTTTTTGTTTTTTTTTTTTTTCCCTACTTCAGCATAATTGACAGCGTCATTGACATTCTGAGAAATTTGTTTCACGTATGAGTTTTTGTCATACGTATGCTTGGCCATGTAGGAGTGCACTAGTGTACGCGTGTGTGTGTATGCATGTAGGGTAGACTTGTACGCATTTTTGTTTACTCCCATGTTTTGTACGAGTTTTTTTTTTTTTTGTTTTTTTGTTAAATTATTGAGGGGCATGAGCATTTTGTATGTGCGCATTTTGTTTTAGTGAGATGTGTGTATGCTGCTTTAGCTCCTGTAATAAGCGAAGCATTTTCGTACACAACAAGTGTGCTTCGTGTGTGCAACTGAGCCGCCCTTTGGGGGTCATCTGCACTTGGCACTTACGCACATGTATGCGTACAATATACGCGTTTCTTTTTAAAACAAACTGAACCCAGTGAACATTTTTTTTTTTTAATGTACCAGTCTTAATTTTTGAAAGAAAAAGAAAAGCACAACGTGAAACGACAAAAAACAAGCCGGTAAAAATAAAGATGAAAAAACGAAAAACAGCTTGTTGGACTTATCACCTCAGCGGTGACGTCCACCGATTCGATCACCGATAAAATGTGTTCATTTGTGTAAAAAAAATGTACGTGCCATGTACACAGAAAATAGGGTATGCACTTTGGCTAAGTTAATAACAAGTTAGCATAACTTACAAATGTGTAGGGCTCTCAAAAATAGCATCGCTGGAGCATCCCCTTTGTTTATTTTACGCAGAAAAATACCTTGAAACATGTCACATTTGTAAGTACATTTCCGTGCATGTACATTTTGGTTTCTGCGCTTTCATTTTTTCCCCTCCATAAATTTCGGAAATCATTTTTGTACAATCTCATATTTCCAACTAGCTATATGGCATGGGCACAATTTTAGCAGGACGCACAGCATACCTTTTCGTGAATTAACAAGTGTATAAAAAAATACATGTTATCAGGGTAATTTTTTTTTTATATTTTTATTATTTTTTTTTTTTAATTCCCCATTTAAGGAACCTGCTTTTCTTTTCTTAAATTAAAAGCTCGAAGCTGCAATACCTTTTCACTTAAAATTGCGACAAAAAAAAAAAAAAAAAAAAAGAAAAAGGCAGAAAGGTTAAAAAAGCTAAGCTTGAATGGGGGAAAAACGAAAATGCCACATTTGTACATGAAAAAATATACATATACATTTTTACATACGTGTAACGTATGATCAGATATTTGCATTCTTGCGCACATACCATTTGCGCGGCTTCCACGCTTCCTCTTTTTGCGAATTCGTTGAGGGGTAAGAAAATAAAGAAAAAGTAACCATGCGTTTGCTAATATGTATCGAACCTTGTTTAATTGAGAATAGGCATGTGCGCAAGGTTGTTTAGAAGGAAAAGCTTTTGTTTTCTTCTTTTTTTTTTCTTTTTTTTTTTCTTTTCCCCGTGGCTTATTTCAAAGTAGGGAAGAATTGCCCGAAGCTGAATGTAACTGAAGGAGAAAGGAGCAAAAACGCGTGAACAACAGTGAGCCTAAAGAATGCAAGAGAACGAAAAGAGAAGAGGAGAAAAAGGAAGAGAAAAAAACAAGAAATAAAGAACGCGCATAGGAAGAAAGGGGAAGAAATAGCAGATTAAGTGAACGTACACAAGAATTAGTCACCTTTTGCGGCAATCAAGTCAAAAGGTTGATATAGTTTTAAACACGTGTACAGTCCTTGCGTAAAGGCTTCGACGCTCACAAAGCGATATAGTTTATGCCCATTCAAAACGAATAAGAATATCTGGGGCAAAATGATCGTGGGCAAAAATTTCTGGGATGAGGAGAAGGACGCACCTATTCTGAAGAGAAATGCAAATTACATTAACAAAGAGAACTGTGAATATGTTTGCAAGCGTGCAGAACATTTCTACGAAATAATGTTAAGTTACATTAAAGAGGAAATCAATGTGGAGATTCGAGAAGATTGTAATGATAAGGAGATTTTGAGGATAATAAAATTAGACGCTGAAAGAACATTTAACAAGGAAGAAAATCGATCCCTACTAATTGAAGTTCTTCAGTCCATTTATCCAATAACGAATGATTACCACCAAGGGATATCATTTATCTCATCCTTTTTGTTGCTTTTCTTAGAACCAAGGGAAGTAGTAAAAATTATTACCGGTTTACACAAATATTACTTACCAGGGTATTTTAAGGCAATGCCAAAGGCATACGTGAGGGATTCTCGTGTGTTCTTAAGTATCTTAAATCATTTCCATCCAAATTTATATGAACATATAAAAAACTTGATAACTCCTGAAGCGTTCGTTTCTAAGTGGTTCATTGGTCTCAATGTGCACGTTCTGACATTCGAATCGCTTATGTTATTTTTCGAGCACTTGTTGAAACAAGGAGAAATATTTTTGTTTAAATATAGTATTGCTTTGTGCAGAACTTTGGAACAAGAAATTATGAATACAAATGACGTTTCTAAGCTTCTGGCGTTGTTGCGATTAGACCAGAAACTTTTCCCTAATGATTATAAAAAGTCGGACGCGCAGAAAATTGGAGATTTTTTTTTAAACATTATTGAAGCTTCGTTAAAAGTGGACATGACAAGCATCGACTTGGACAAATTGAGGGAAGAAGCGTGTGAGCAGATGAAGTTGGAGGAGGAGAGGAGGAAGCAAATTGAGATGGAGCGCCTCTTGACGGATGACGAAATTATTTTTTCCGACGAGGAGGAGGAAGAAGACGACCTAGATGATGATGACAAGGGGGATTCAGACCTGACGCAGAGCGAGCAGGACAACAAATCGGATCACACGGATAATTTGGATCATGAGGAAAAATCACTTCCTGATGAAAAATCCATTCCTGTGGAAAAATCGCTTCCTGAGGAAGAATCGCTTCCTGAGGAAGAATCACTTCCTGAGGAAAAATCGCTTCCTGAGGAAGAATCACTTCCTGAGGAAGAATCACTTGCTGAGGAAGAATCACTTCCTGAGGAAAAATCCGTTCCTGAGGAAAAATCACTTCATGAGGAAGAATCACTTCATGATGAAAAATCTATTCCTGTGGAGCTGAACAAAATGCAGCTTGACGATGCCAACAAGGCCAAGCCAGAAGACGCAAAGGAGAAAGCATTGTCCAGTGGAGAGTCCCCCAAAAATGAGGACAAAAAAATCGAAAAAAGGGAATGTGAAGAGGACTACATGTGACGAATATTAAGAAAAATGAGTACAACAATTGGATGAAAAGAAAGAAAAGAAAAAAAAAAACGTACATATGTTGTAGATATAAACGCACTGCGTAGCAAAACGGAAATATTAATTAAAATAAGTTGCAAGTCAGTATTTAAAATGTTACCAAAATTTTTTTACACTGGGCCACGTGCAAAATATATTTATGCATACTTTCCACTGGCACACTGTATATAGCATTTATTTTAATTAACGCGCCTTTTCTTTTCATAAAGGCTGCGGGTGATGCACCAAAACCCACATGCTTTATGTTAATGTGCGATGCGTGTAGAAAGCACCATCGAATTGTGTCACAATGTATTGCTGAGCAATGCTGTGTGATGAGTCATGCGATCCATGTTGTGCACGTTTTTCATGTGCTGAATCGCGTGGTCTTTTTTTTTTTTAAAAAACATACCTAAACTTTTGTTTTACGTTATATACTATTTGAGTTAATCTGTTTCCCCCCCCCCACGCACATACACAGTTGTTCGTACACCCCACGTGGGTATATTTGGTTTCACCTGAGAGGGCTTTCTTTCTAAACCTCACAATTATAAAATAAGTGGATGCTTTTCTACATTTGCCCAATTAATTAGTAGATATAGATTGCGAATGACGTGGTAAAGGGATAGAGTTCAATTAGGGATTGTCCTCTTCCACATGCGGGCAAAGGGTGGAAAGCTAATCGGTCAAGTGTGGTGAATTTGCGATGGTATTACAATTCTTATGCGCTCCGTTGTTGAAGAAAACAACAGAAAGGGAGCGGCCACAGATATAAAGGCATCTCTATCTTTGCATCCACATGGACACTGATCTTTCATTTTTATTATACAGTGATACAGCTATATTATTTACGGTGCCCCTTTTACCGCTTTTCCGTTTCGACGTTTATTTTTATAATTATATTAAAAGTTGTGGGAAAAAAAAAAAAAAATTAATAAGCAAAAAAGGAATAAAAATAAACATTGCGCGATAAAGAGCACAGGGTATATACACATAACACATAGACACAGAACTCGCGACAATTTGGTTTACTCTTCCGTTTTTTGCATCTTAGCTTTTGCATTAATAACCGATACGTTCATTTGTTTGGCTCTCTCAATAATTTCCCTTCTCTTTTTACTCGAAACATTATGAGCAATTTGCACGCAGTACTTTGTGTTGTTCATAATTAATGGTTCCATTTCTCTGACATTTCTTACTATATATTTGTACTTATTATTTGGTAACAAATATTTCGTTTTTTTGTTGCTTCCGTAGCCAATACTTGGCATTAAGTTCGTTCCTTTGTACCTTCTTCTGACACGACAATCAATACCTCTTGGTTTTCTCCATGCAGGCTGCGGGGCGGAAGAAGCGAAGGTGAGATGTTATAGGGGCGTGTTCATACAAAAATTAGAAATGTGAGCGCAACATATATACATGTTATGAAATAATGTCGCACAAAAGGATACGGTAATAGGTACGCCATGTGTACGAGCTTATGGAAAGGTGAATTCGGGAGGGGGGCGGACTGACTTGCTCCAAAATGTATATGTTTATCACAATTAGTACGCAAAAATGGCAATGCATTAAGTCAGGCACACGAAAGCATCACGTATGTGTATTTTCCACTAGGCACATACTAATATATGTTGCTAGTCTCTACCCCCTGGGTTTCTACTGCATACAAATTCCACTGAGCTCAGGTTCTATACAAAAATAGTTCCCCGCTCTTTGTAGTTACACAAGCGTACGAGCGGAAGTCAACAATGGGTATGTACATATATATGGGCATATATTTATGTTATAAAGAAAATATCTATGACTTGGTCTCCCCTCCCATTCTCCTTCCTTTTTTGTTATCTTGTGATTACCTTAACACGCATAAACCTGTTCGACTGAAAACGCGTGAACTTCTTTGTTCTCTTCTTTATAATTTTTCCCACTTTTTTTACTGCCATTTTGGATTTCTTTGTATTATGTTGATGGATAAATTGAGTTTCGCAAAACAAAAAAGGACTACTGAACGTTGAAATATCGAATCAGTAAGGTACGCAAAAGTTTAAATACGGCGTTCCTGGCACAGCGTTATAAAATATATAAATTTTACATGGCAGCATTGTAATTATAGCCTTCTTTTTTTTTTTTATTTTGATTTTCCTTAAAAAATTATGTATATTTTTTTTTTATATCTACAAATTATTTAATTAGTTTTTTAAAAGGTTTTAACTATATGGATGGGTGCTGAAAATGTGAATCTGCGTTCAGCTGGTATTTTTTCCTTACCCGATGTACCTAACAGCTTCCCAATTTTTGTTGTCACCATAATGGAGCAACGTGCATACATAATAATTATATTTATCAATATAACCATATACCGTTTTGCAAAAAAAAATAAAAATTGCATACGCGCGAAGTGCATCTTTATATGTTGTACTCAGTTATCTTCTGCAATTCTCAAACGTGAAGATTTTTTTTAATAATTGCGGGACCGGCACAAAAGTAAACCATGAACAAGATGGCATAGAGCCATGGTGCAAAGGGCCTTACTTTTTACCGTTATGCAGTACAGTTTCATGAATATACGCGTCAAGCGACGAAGTATTTTCTTCCTTCAAAGAATATGCCTCCGTTTTTTTTTGTAGCTAACCTTTTCATTGCTACCTTCTTTTTTTTTAAATGTGCCAACGGAGATAAGATTGTACGAGTTTTACTTAAATGTTTTTTTAAGCGAAATTTAATTGTGTTTGCAAAAATGTCCCTTTTATTGCTTAAACTGTATTTTTCTTTAAGCAACAAAGGCGAATAATTTCCTATGACGTGGGTATTTATATAATTATGCCCGCTGAAATTAATGCCCCGGTAGTAGTACAAGGGGGTATAATATACATTATGGTGTACATCCTCATTTCGTTTCACCTTGGACAACATTTACGCGTAGTAGTTATGGCACCTTGCATTGGCAACTTGACAAGGAAAAGAGCAGCAATGGCATTGCAAATTTTTGGGCAGTAAAATATACTAATGATAATTCTTTCTCAAGCGGGTAGAGACTCAATTTATTTTATGTAATAAAAATGGCACAAAATTGGTTTTACATGAATAAGGGGGAAAAACCGTACAGCTTGGCAAAATGCTGCTTATAAGAGTAGCTCAATTGAAGGCTGTGTAATTGTTGCATTTTCTACGCGCCCAATTTGTTGCCCGTTTGTATGCGACGTTTATTCTCCCCCACACGAGTAAGTCCTCTCTACACAAAGGAAGGAATAAAATCTAGTAGGGCCAACACATGGTGGCGTAGAAATTCCGCTAACATGCATTTTCAAAAGGAACATACAATTTTTAAGCGCATGGGTTGAAGGGCGTTTTGGTTAAGTTCGTGCGGTCAGCCGTATTTTGCATTTTCTTGACGAAAAGAGTATAATAAATACATGGGCATGACTGCGAAAAAAAAATTGACATCATCCCGGATTTGACAAATGGAACAAATAAACAAACAAGCGCACAAACAAAGAAATTAATGAATCAAGGGCGCACTGCGGAGGCCCTTTTTTGCTTGAAAAATTTTGTTTTATACATTTTTTAAAAATGATTAATTCTGAGGACGGCCACTTTGTGTGCCGAATATCGCAAGTCGCGGGGAGCGGGAGTTTTCCACGTTCCCCCGTGTGCGTGTCAAAATTGTGTAGCTGCACGACGACATCTCTGTGTGCGCGCACGGGGTGTATGTGCGTATGCGCATCTACGCGCGGTTTTGCTTTCCTTCGCTTGGTGTAACGGTTGGTAACATTCTATGTGTTTTCCAGGATATGCCGCACGCCCCCGCCCATTCGCTGGTTGCCTTGAATTACTGTGGAACGAAGGAAATATCCCTAAACCTAGACTCCCCGGTTAGGGTAATCAATCCCACACTCCCAAACTCGGTGCTGCGCTCATTAAGTTCCGAATTGACGACCAGTTCATCATTCAGCGTGATATGCACGCGTCCCCCGTTGTAGGACACCTTTAAATGGTGCCACACTTCCGGGGGTATTGGCATGTGCGTGGGTGCATTTAGCTGGTATGGAATTCCTTTGCTAATTTTGAGGAGATACAATTTACCATCCATTTGGGTGGTGTCCAATATGACAGATAAGAAATCATCAGATGATAGTACTCTGAAAATGACCCCAGATTTTGTCAAAGGTTTTAAGCTAATGGATGTTTCAAGCGAAAACGATTGCATGTTTGTACATATGTTGTGACCCTTTAAAAGTATGATTGATGGAATGAGAAGATCTCCTTCTTCTTTCCGTTTTTGCGCGGAATAAAGATAACACTCGTCGGTGTCGCTTTTTCCACTCTGATTATGTCCATCCGGGTAAACACGTTGTGCTTGTTCTTCCCTTTTGGGATCTGCCCAAATTGAGTTCAAAGCAAAATTTTTGTGAATCCTCCAATAGGTGTTTAGAGGAACAATCCAGTTAGTGTCTAATGGTAGATTGCACCTCTCTGTGAATGGTGTGCACCCAGCCTGGCTATCTGCATTTGTGGTTTCTTCGCTGATTGATTTGTCATTTGAATTATTTGTTTTCTGTACTTTGTGGAAATCGTTTATATCGTTCTTGGACGGAATGGCAATTGACTTCCTTGCCCCGTTGTAGTATTTGGCTTGATCGAGAGAACCTATGACAATTTTATCAAAAAATATTTTTTCCTTACAGTTGTTCATTCCAAGTCCTACGTGTCCATATGAATCATTTTTTGTTTCAAATCCGTTGACATATTTCCCGTTTATGTAAGCCCTAACATTTTTATATCCAAACTCGATAAAGAGTGTTGCCCATGCCCCTAGCTTGAAGGGCAAATTACTTATTTGCTTTTTACTAATTGGTGAACTCCTTTTCCCATCTGTCATTTCTACAAAGTAAAACTCCTTTTTGTTTATTACAAAATTGGAGTAATTATTATGGTCTCTGTACTTTATTACGATTCCTATATTTCCTTCATATGGT